GGTTCAGCCAGCTCAATCCTCTCACGAAGGGGTKGCACAAGCAAGATGCAGTACAACCGGGAGGATGTGCCTGGGGCCAGCACTGCCTCTGGGGGCGCTGAGTCAATGYGACTCAGACTTCTCATGAAACCTCTCCTGAAGGCATGGGAGCAGAAGGGGAGGACCAAGAGGCTGGAGGTGAAGCTTCTGATCCAGACCAAGATAGAGCATTTATTCAGACTCTCTAAACTGGCAGGCTGGTCAGAAGTTGTGGCATGCTTTTATCCAACCCTTCAGGAGCTGYAGATGTTTCAGGGCTGAGGTTTCAAGCTATTCCCTCCTGTTCATGCTATTCCTCTGTTCCTGACTCAGCAGCTGGGGTGCTAGTTCCCATTATGCAGTATATGACCTCTCTCACGTATGGAATTCACCCTGGGAACTGGGCATCTAATATCTGGGTGCCMCATTGGACATGTGGGCATCTTCATCTCCAGCTGTCTGAGCTGCAGAAGATGGACTGAGTGTGAGCTTGAGGTGAAAAGTCCCAGAGACTTCATGGGATGTCACTGGATTTCACTGGGCTATTGGATGCATGTTGTAACTCTTAACCTGCTGGAAAGATAGAACATTTTACCAGCTTTTGGCAATTTGATTGTGTTTGCTTAATCCAAGAAGTAGGTGCATTTGTTTGCCTCTGAGTATGTCTCAGGCTCAGTCACAAAATGAAGTGACTTGAATTTTTCAGAGGATGTGTATGATACTGTCACAACATTTAGAAAAATGTAAAAATACACACTTTCAAAGGCWTTTTACAAGAGTCATTCTTGTCAGTTTTTCTCAGCTGTTGCTTTCAAAGGAAGCATTTTCTGTTTTAAGAACCTGTAGCTATTAACTTGTGTCTTTGCTGCTTTGATCTCTACCAGTAAAATTGCTTTTGCATTTCTGCAGTCTTTTCTTCACTGCATGCTTTGTGGCATGTTCACCTGTTTGTTCCTGGTTTAGTTTCTGATTAATTATTAGAGCCAGTTACAAAAATTGCCATCCAATAGGATAAAAATGCAGTTTGGGGTCACTGTAGAAGTGGGCAGATCCTCTCCTTTCATGTGGTTTGACTTCTAAATTGCTCCACAGGCAAGAGATGGAGATGAGCTGATTCTTCCTGCCAAGCAGCATTTACAGTGCACTTGGCCATTAAAAGGAAGCAGGAGGTAGTTTGTCAATGATAAATCAGTAGCAGGTGTCCAGCAGTGGAGAAGGTTCATGGGGCTTCAGTGATGCCCTGCACAGTGGGATTCATGTCCAGTGTCTTCTGAAGCGAGACAAGCCTAAAAGCTGCAAGTTGAATGAAAATGTTCAAAGTTGCTCAGAAACCAAACCTTTAAGCAAGGCTGGTAAAGGGAGTCTAGGAAAAACAAACTCCTCAGAGCAAGGTA